TCTCTCTCTCTCTCTCTCTCTCTCTCTCTCTCTTTGGATGAAGTAAGAAGTATTATAAATGGCATCAAGAAGATGCATGAGATCAGAGAGGTACAGAAGGGGTTGAGTTTGTTAGCTCTGTTACAATGAACCTATGCTATGGCTAGAGAGTTAACAAAATCCAAAAGTTTGGCATGCAAGTCAACTGGGGATAGACTATCCCAACTACATAAATTTAAAAGACAACTAGCCTTGAGGGCGTGGTTTGGAGTTGCCAAACCTCTCCTTTGAGGTAACTTTGTATGCTAAATGAAGCCATGGGCAAAGTAGGTGTAGTTTTGACTGGTAGCTAGACAGGATAAAGAACAAGTTACTGGGGAAAACTCATATATATATATATATATATATATATATATATATATATATATGTATGTATGTATGTATGTATGTATGTTGTGTGTGTGTGTGTGTTCGTGCGTATAATCATTTGTAGAATATGAGAACCTTCTATAGATGCCAAAGTCTGAACACATGCTAGTTCATGCCTTTCTTCACTGTAGGTTACATTGACTTTCAATTATTAAAAAAAAGTATATTAATTTTCTTTCCTAAAACTTTCTCAGTGACCCTAAGAATGGTCAAAATATTACCTAAAGAGAAGCTTATCACTAGAATGGTTTAGTGATCGACGTGAATATACTATTTTTCTCTCTGTTCTTACTCTCGATCACTTTACTCCGTGAAAGATTATTCTCAATATAAAACGGCATAAATAGAAAAACTGGGGCCTTGAGCTTATCCAAAAAGGCGCAAATAGAGGAAATAGACCACCCTGTCTGGAATCAGTAAAGATAATACTTAACTGCTGTATATATATTATTACCAATGTGTCTTTTAATGTTGTAAATTACATGGCATTTTATATTAAGGCTCCAGTTGAAAGCAAGAGCCTTCTCATGATAAAAAGAAATTCTAGTCTAGACTTACATCTTCCTAGCTGCTGGTCATATCTTTCTTGGTTTCCGTTCCTATAGTTGTTATAATCTTTTTTATTCTATAACCTTTATAGGCATACTAATAAAAGAAAAAAAACTATAACTCCTTAAAACACATTTTAGATGCAGGTAGGTCTTGAAGGAAGTACTGCTGGTCAATGGTGGTTGGAAATGATTGGAAAAACCTTGGATGAAGGATTGACTTTTATCCGTGTTGGCTTCAGGCAGTTGGCAGGCTTGGTTATTTCTGTCTGGTAGGTATTGCTTATGGATCCTATGCACAAGGCTTGGATAACTTTGGTATTTAGCGTTTAAGCTTATGATATAGACAGCAGAATCTGATTATGAGGACTCACATTAGGTTTCACATGACTTGAGGTGAAATGTTAGTTCAATGTATGGCTGGCAATTCTTGAAGTTTTCAATCTTTTGATACCCACCTCAAGATGCAATATGTTTATATTTGATGAATGCTCCTTTTATTCTTTGGATCTTCTCTTTTAACTAAAGTCACGAGTTGCAGCTTTTTATACATATGGGCAAAAGGCCTACCACTTAACCCTGACTCACCCCCTTCCTCCAACTGGGGAACACAATTTGTATTCAAATGAATGGACGTCAACTTTCCTGATTATTTTTGTATGTAAACTATGGTTTGCTCATTCTATTTGAAGTGTCTGTCTAAACAATTTCCTTTTGATGTATAAACTATCTATTAACTAGATTTTGATGATTGGGAGCCTCTATTTGTACACATGTCTGATATCTGATGAAACAAAAATATTTTTCAGGGTCAGAAGTAGTATTAGTCGTTGTGTTGGCGATGTTGATGTTGCAGCAGTACCTTGTGGTTTCGGGCGTGCAATTGGGAACAAGGTATGATTGCATTCTCCTTTTTGCTGTTTCTTGATGGATCTTATTGTATTATTGCTGAAAGTTGAGAGCAAATTAATTGTTTGATGGTGAATAGTTCTATTTTGAAGCATAAGAATAGCATTAGGTTACTTATAATCTAGAACTTCTCTCTTACTTGGGATCACCCTACAACATGGAATAGGTTTATGCATGATTCCTTCCTGGGTTTCTTGGAATACCTTCCTGGGTTTCTTGGAATATTTTGTCAAAATATGGGCAACATAGGGACTCATAACCTAAGTCATGCTTGTACCCAAAAAAAAAGCCATCAGAAGTAATTTTACAGCACCGTAATATACTAGAGAAAGGGAGCACAGTTCTATCAGAATACAATCTTCCTAGCTGTAAGTTTCTAAGTTCATATGAACATTTAGTAATTCTACCATAATCTTGAGTGCCCATTGAAACAATTTGATTGGACATACTTAAAGCACATGTTTGTTGTGACCCTCGTAATGCAAACATGGGAATTACTACTGTAGCGTTCAACGCATATTAACACCATTCCTAGTTCTTTTGATGTTTTCGACAAGTAGATAGCATTCTTTGTATTTTTTATATTAATTTTTGTCATGGTCCTCCAAACAGGGAGCAGTAGGATTGAGGATGAGAGTCTATGATCGTACTATGTGCTTTGTGAACTGTCACTTTGCTGCACATTTAGAAGCTGTCAGTCGTCGGAATGCTGATTTTGACCATGTTTATCGAACTATGGTCTTTAGTCGGCCATCAAACTTTCTCAATGCTGCTGCTGGTATGGTGCCATACCTTTTCACAGCTTGCTTGCTTGCCTGCTCTATGTATTTAATCTGGGTTGTTTATGGTTCTCGGTTGCCATTGGTCCTTTCTGTTGCAGCTGGCGTCTCATCTGCGATTCAAATGCTCCGCAGTGCAAATGTATGTACATACTTAAATTGGTATTTTGGCTGTCTGGTCTTTAATGATCTTCTTAAAATATTTGCTTCCTTCATTGGAGCAGTGTATTTTAATTAGCACAGATGAAAACATTGATTTTGCTTGTCAGGGTGCGTTTAACTCTGCAGAAGCAATGCCAGAGCTATCTGACTCAGATATGGTTGTGTTTCTTGGTGACTTGAACTATCGGCTTGATGGCATTTCTTATGATGAAGCAAGAGATTTTATTTCTCAAAGGTGCTTTGATTGGCTTAGAGAGAGGGATCAGTTGCACACAGAGATGGCAGCTGGGAATGTCTTCCAAGGAATGCGTGAAGCAGTAATCAGATTTCCTCCAACATACAAATTTGAGAGGCACCAAATTGGCTTAGCAGGTATGAACACTTGAATAGATGATGGAAAACTGTCTCTTATTGAATGCATAAATGAGTTTAAATACAAGTTACAACAACCACCTTTCTAGAGTTTCATGTAAACCAAATAACTAAAGAATCCTATCTAAACCAAATAGATAACTCTGAAGAACTAACTATGATATCATCTAATCTAGAAGATAAATGCAATCTAATCTAAAGAGATAAATGCTAGGAACAAACTGATAACTACTAGTAACAAGGACTGTTGGTCCAATANGGAATGCGTGAAGCAGTAATCAGATTTCCTCCAACATACAAATTTGAGAGGCACCAAATTGGCTTAGCAGGTAACTGTAGCTATCAATTCTGCAGTTGAGTGTCGTAATCCTCTCTTCTTTCATATTTGCAGACAGGATGTAAATGATCTATATATATTTCTCTCTCCTCCTCTGAATGTCTGATGTGGTTATAATTGTCTCATTTGTAAGGGTATGATTCTGGTGAAAATAAGCGGATTCCTGCTTGGTGTGACAGAATTTTGTATCGTGATAGCCGTTCCGCCTCAGCTTCCGCGTGCAGCTTAGATTGTCCTATCGTCTCATCAGTTTTGCAGTAAGTTCTCCATATGAACCCAAAATAATTGAAGTCCGTGATTTTTCAGGGCACTTGACAATAATGTTTCTGTGGCTTTTCTTTTTTCTTTTTCCAGTTCTTTTTTTTTTGTCTTTATACAAGAGACCAAGAATGTGTTTCATCCTTCATTTCTTCATCCGCTTCTCATTCTTTAGTTCTTTTGTCATATTTATGTATTTCAATCACTACCTGCCTTTACCTCTTTTGCCATCTATTTTCTGTATCATATTTCTGTTTCCTCTGTTCCCACTCTTCTAAAAGCCTCTCCTTTAATAGGTATGAAGCTTGCATGGACGTGACAGATAGTGACCACAAGCCTGTAAGGTGCATATTCAATGTGGAGATTGCTCGAGTGGATGAATCAGTGAAAAGGCAAGAATATGGGGAAATCATTAGATCAAATGAGAAAGTTGTGCTTATGCTTGGAGAACTGAATAAAATTCCAGAAACAATAGTCAGCACAAATAACATAATCCTCCAGAACATGGACTCATCCATCTTGCGCATTACAAATAAGAGCGGCAAAAACAAAGCTATTTTTGAAATAACTTGTGAAGGTGAGTCCACTGTTAAAGATGATGGGCAAGTGGTTGATCATCCTCCAAGAGGTTCTTTTGGTTTCCCTCGTTGGCTTGAGGTAACTTCCGCTTCTTAAATTGGAGGATTGGAGCTTTTCTATCATTATAGTGGCTGGGGCTTGATGGCAAGGGTTCTAATTTGTTTACTTGTATGATTTTCCAAAGTGATTCCTCTCTCCCCCTTGCTTGTGTTTTCTTTTTTTAATTTTTTTTCAAGAGTTGGAAGATTGGAAGTCACGACTGGTTCAGTCACTCTGAACATTCACGTGAACCATGATGTTAGTATTCGCCTATTTTAGAAATCTGACCACCAGAAGTTGGGTGCCTCGCGAGAATCTTATTTGGGACCCGCTGACCTTAAAGCTAACTAGACCACAAAGAACCTAAAATACATGCGTAGGCTTCTATTTGTCTGTGTTGCAGAAGACGAAAAGTATGGAAATTAAGAGAAAAAATGTGGTAGTTGGGGGTTTTTTCGAAATGAAAAAAATGAAATTATTAGTAAATGAGTGGGATGACTTATGAAGATCTGTGGTTTACTGTTTGGATATGGTTAGACCAACACCAAGTTCCATTTTGGAAAGGGTTAGGGTCCCAGTGTAGCTTCATAATCTGCTTTTTTAGTATGTTGCCTTTAAAAGAAAAGCTATTTTCAGTTTGTCATAAGCTAAATTTGCACTCTAAATACTCGGCTTTTAAGAATCTGATGCATTTGGTTTGAACTTCAACAGGTCAATCCTGCAGCTGGCATCATTGAACCAGACCATATTGTTGAAATTTTAGTTCACCATGAAGACCACCAGACACTTGAGGAGTTTGTTGATGGGATTCCTCAAAACTTTTGGTGTGAAGATGCCAAGGATAAGGAAGTCACGTTGGCAATCAACGTTCGCGGTTGCTTCTCAACGGAGACAAAATGTCACCGTATTCGTGTACGCCACTGCTTTTCAGGCAAGCCTTTGCCAGCAGAGATCAGGCCCAACAACTCTAATCATCTGCGGACAAATGTCCTCCACCGATCTGACTTTCAGCCTCTTGGTTTTGCGCCTGATGTTGTCGACGACCTAATAAATCTAAATAGTCCTTGACAAGCAAGCTTGTCTCCTGGTTGAACCATGCCCAAATCACGTGGTTTTGATTCAACGAACTGGCAATCCAATCTGTGTATGTGTAAATAGTCACCAAAGGGTCTCAGTATTATGCAACATCTCAACAACTAGGACTTCTCTATAGAAAATTTTCTTTGAATATGTCATTCTTTTGAGTTGGCCGCTTTTGAAAATTTTCGGACTGTCGCTTTGAAAGTGTATAGCATGAATTGCACACTTGTAATAACCTAGAGCTAGTTATGTATGTAACCATGTAATGTATCCGAGGGAGTGGCACATTTCGTGAGGAGAGTTGAACCCATCTAAAGTTGTTGGTTTGTGGGGGTGGGGTTG